TCAATCGTCTGTGAAAAACTTTTCTTTTTTGTTTTGTTTGCTTATTTTTTTACATCATTCTAGCTTTATATAGTATTTGAATAGAACATGTGGCAACGATTAGATATATTTTAAATGATATATTTTGTGCATATGAGTTATAATATGAACGAAATATAATACTGTTAAGTGAATCTAGCGCCAGAATGTCGCTATGGTAAACACATACTAGAGTGGATTTTAAAGAATGTATTTATTCTATTGTGGTTTATGCGGTGTCGGCGAAGTAGATTTAATTCAATCCAATAAGTTTAAAGAAATGCAAGAAAAAATGCGTATAATTTAATATTCCGTACAAGGAAGTCATGTGGTATATACATCAGATTTTTTGGTATAAATATAGCCGTTGCTTACCCTTCTTTGCTCCTGATGAAGAAAGAGCTCCACCTGTTTGTCTTCGAAATTGATAGCATCTGAATTGAAATTTACGCCAAACACAAGGTTGTTACTTTGCGCGTTCCAGCAACCTTTTACCTGAAATTATTTCTTCTAGTCAATCTCCATACTTCCTGGTTTAACCAGTGTAGAAGTTATGTCTCAAATAAGAAACATATGCTGCTGCGGAATGATTTCAAAGATCGACCTTCTTCCATTTTTCAACAGAAATATGTTTCTGAACTCTCGCATCAAAATATCTGTACGGCCAACTAATCAAGATGCTGGCTGATGCAAAGTACATCATCATGTCTGATTTGCCAAAGCATATAAATGCTGTGTATCTGTGGTGTCCTGTAAGAGCCTATATTCTAAACCGAATCCGATTTATTAATGTTAGTGTTTCGGGCCATTTGAGGATATCCTGATAAAGTGTACAGAAGATATTATTTTGCTGTTTCTGATAACAGAAAAAGTCATCTGACTCTGAAAGAATCCAAATTTAAACAGATAATTGATTATTAAGCAGAGTAGATATTATTGTGAGCCTGCAAATGTAAAATTAAGTTTCAAATTCAGATACTGTATTAGTGCAAAAGAAATCATATGTTACTTTTAACAGAGCACCTGAAATCAGTAAAAAATTGGAGTTACTTAAAAAAACTTAAAGGTTTACTAACAGGTAAAGAACTAGTAAATGATTGTAAAAAACTGAACAAAACACAATTTGCTATATATTATTTATTTTTAACAATGCTATCATGTACATAAAATAAAATAATCATGTTGATGTGATCATATACAGCCTAAACGTAAAAGGCTTTTGCATCAATATATGCAAGACATGAAATTCTCGACAAGGTAAATTATAAGTTATACAAGACAATAAAGCTTCAACACATAATTAACAGTTGTGAATTCTTTATTTTTTAACATACCAAAAATGAAAATATACACAACTTTTTACATAATGATTGTCAGCAGTATTCACGAAGACTGATAGTTTTGTGAAATTACTGCATATCTGGAATGAATATTTTGAAGATAATCTAATACAAAATAACTGTAATGTCACGAAGGAATGAAGCAAAGCTATTTGATATTTTTATGAGGATACTTTTAAAAATATTAGATTATATTATCAATTCAGCGTGCTTAAAAATGCGTGCTGTCAGGGTGATTCTAATTCACTGATTAACTGTTGTTAATGTAGTGACAAAAATAAGTAAATCATAGTATTAGATTAGTATTAATCATAGTATTAGTCATTATGACACTACTTTAATAATTATATATAATTTATGATCGTTGAAGAAAACAGCATTATTCTATTCTAAATCAAAACCAAAGGTTTAAAAAATGCATTTTCTTCATAGCTCATAAGAAATAATCATACAGTCTTTTTAATTTAAAAAGAAAAAACTCTTTATACAATGATGAAAAAATTTAATGTTTTTTTTCAATTTAATCTTTCAGTTCCAAAATGTGAAATTCGCTATGAACTGTTTCACATAAATACGACGTGTAAAGTATCAAATATAAAACAATGTTGTAAAAAAATTAAAAATAGAAACAGTACATCATGAAGTTCAAAAAGGAACACATCAATGTGAAATAAGACTTTTATTTCTATCTTTCAGCAAAGAAATAAAATATAGCTCCTACTAATCTCACCAGGATCCCTTGCTACTTGGATAGTTACCTATGTATCCTGTTCGCTGTCCTGACCATGTGTTACCCCCAATTGTATTAATTCTTGGGCTAGTTACTCCTTTATAATTACCCTGATATCCGTATCGATCATTAACATTTCCACCTGCCCATGAGCTCCCTTTCGTCCCCGCAGTGCCATAACCTCCGCTTCCCCAACTTGTTTGTCCTGGGTATGTGCCTCCATATCCAGAGCCATAAATCTGATTACCTAAGCCTTTACTTGTGCCTTGGCTTGTGTAACCACTTCCATAACTTGGATAACCATAACCAGGTTGATATCCGGATACGCTACCACCATAGGAACCACTGTATCCCTTATCTCCTCTGTATCCTCCAGCTGGCCAGTTATAACCTCCATTACTCCCTTTTATTTGATTGCCCCCATACCAACCACTTCCATAACTACCTCCTTGGCCACCTTGTCCATACCAACCCTGATTACCCGAAACGGTGCCTTTATAGTTGCCACCATAGCCTCCACTTGCTCCAGACCCCGGACGTCCTCCGTAGCTTCCACCCCAGTTTGAACCACCCGTTGACCAACCTTTGTTGCCATAACCTCCAAGATAACCTCCTCGACCTGGAACCACATAACTTCCCGAACCACTTGGGTATCCATATGCTCCGCTCCCGATGTATCCACCTTGATACCCAGGTTGATAACCACTTTGATACCCTGATTGATAACCACTTTGATATCCTGGTTGGTAACCACTTTGATATCCTGGTTGGTATCCACTTTGATATCCTCCCTGATAACCTGGCTGATATCCTGGTTGGTAACCGCTACCACCATGAGCTGTTCCTTTGACGTTGCTAGATGGAGGATACCAGGTTTGTGTGCCATAGACAGGTCGATCCCAACCAGTTGCTTGTCTTACTAGATCTTTGGTGCCTGCTGTGCTCACATTATCCAGAGATGCAGCATTACCTCGATCTCCTTTATTTGATACGTCGGCAGCTCCATTAGTTGGAAGGTATGAACAAGCCGCTACGATAGAAACCAAAAATAGAGCCTGCAAATAAAGAAGCATTTTAATACATTCATAATAAAATCTGAAAATACAGTTATGAAGTACGTTATAGAGTGATGGTTTTTGAGTAACTACTCCCTTGAAAATCCCTCTTTGGTTTTTGAGAATTTTTTATAAGACCTTTTACTTTTGATATTTAATTTCAAACTGAGTTTTCGTTAAGCAGTTAAAAATACAGTTAAAAGTTAAAGTGTTCCCACTTAAATTACTTGTTTTAAGTGTTTCTACGTGTATCTTTATAATTAGAAGTTTTTTTACTTTCAGACAGTTTTCTTGAAAGTTTTTTTGATGGAACATTAATAGAATGGAGCCACCTCAATAATACTTAATCACAATTAATAATTAACCAAACAGTACTATTCCGCTCATCAGCTATGTAAAGTTTTAAAGTATGGCATTCGTAGACATATATTCATTCCATTCACACATTTCTACTGTTTTTATCTGACTGTATGGGAAGGCTATCTGTATACAGAGAGGGATGCCTTCGTAGGGAAAAATAGATTCTAGCGCTTCTATGACAAAATACCGTTAATGGCAAGAGTGCCTGTTAGTGAATTGAAATGATGGAATGAACTTTAATTTTGTTCTTAACTCGGGAATTATAAAACTTTACTTTCATGCTCTAAACAATACGAAATATTTTTGCTATCTTCTGCCAGTAAGTACAAAGTATTTTTAATGCATAATATCATTCTTACGTTCGTTTATACCGTACAGGCAGCAAAAAACGCATCTTAGAAAAAAAACCACAAATATTAAAGAGAAAAATATGCCAAATGAATCTGGAGTTCTTGCAATGTGGTTATAGTTTGTTTCTATAGAGTCAAAGGTAATGGGTAAATCATAATTTAAAAAAATTTAAAAGAGAAATTTTCTCTGATTTACACAGCTGGTATTAATTAAGCAGCAATAATAATTTGATTTATGTCATTTAGAGCGTTTAAACGATTTCTAATTAAATTAGCTATAGCATGGTCATGAACATTAAATTTTATTAAAAAATTTAAGAAGGTATTCCCTTCTCAAAAAATATTTTTTAATTATTAATATTTAAAGCTTAAGTTGTAAAAATTCATATTTGAGTTAATAAGAAAAGAAAATTCTCACTTAAAACATTACTCAAATTTTAATTATTATTATTACAAAATTTTACTACATTTATAATTTCCTTTAGGAATTCATGGACATAGTGTTTCTGACCAAACTGCTGAGAGAGGTAATTTGCTCAAAGACGAATCACATAGCTATGCAGAATCGAAAAAGTTGGAAGTGGCAATATCTACGAGCCGTTTTTTGCAGAGGAAAGTTGCCTTCATTATAATAATGTTCATGTATGGACGGTGGAAAAATACCTCGCTATGCGAACAAAGTAGCACAACACAGTTTTTTTTGTAAATATTTTATCCAGGATTACCAGGATATTTAACAGGCTTATACCTCAAATCCTTTAGTCTGTACAAATGGAATTATAAGGTATTTTTGAAGGAAGTCTTGTTAGAACTTTTAGGCAAAGAGCAGCCGGGTTCAGCAGTCGTCATGCCTTGAAATGTGATTTCAGGATGATAGGATCGCCACCGGATTTTAGCGGGGAAGTTCTTACACACTTAACATGACATGTGGATAAAAGTGAATCAGGCATCTTTGATTATTTTTTTCCCTAAGATTCCTTGAAAGTTCTGGTGTAAGACACTTTTGTGGGCAGTGCCCAGAGACTTGTTGCACTCAACTCAGTAGCTACCAAGGCAGTCTGGGTTTGATATCTTATGGAAAAGCACACTAGGTCTATATGTGCCTAAGGGATGGATGCCTTCGGGGAAGACTTTCTAAGAAAAACTGGCTGATATGGAACTGGCTCATAAAAACGTTACATATGGGAAAAACCACGAAAACGCCCATGCAGCCAACCCATTCGTGGGATATGAACCTCGGGCCGAAGTGAACCTCGGGCCGAAGTTCGTGGGATTTGAACCTCGGGCAGTGTTCAACGACTTAACCACTCGGCCGCTGGTAGGCCACCATGGCCGTCTGAGATAAGCTGGGAGTTTTCCAGACTGGTTTGTAATTCCATGCGCCGAAGATGTCAGCTATGTATTACATCTCGGAAGCACATTGTCGAACACTGGATGTGATCTCTGGGCATTTCGCAATACATTGCTTGTGTAGCACATACTTTTGCCTGTGCCTATTAATGAATCTCACTATGTTCCCTTAAGTACTGGATTTTTATTTCTTGTGTTCTATGCACGCTTACATATGACAAAGGTATTTTTGATCTTACGGAGCTGAATGATTCCGATCCGTCTTTCAGCAAACTACTGCTCGGAAGCAAACTACTACTATACGTGATACTGAAACATGCTGCATATAGAAATCCTGTGTTTATGAAGAGATGTTTTAAGTTTACATTTGAAGAATGCTAAAATTAAAAAAATCTCTATGCAGAGTCATTAAACGTTACGGAACTCGTATAATTTTAACAATTTTTGAACCCAATTTTGCATATTAATTTTCTTTTGCTAGATCTTTATTAGCATAAGGAACAACTTACTCGCTGGCCCTTTCTTCATTGAAAGATCGTATAAAAGTTTAAATGTCGTACAGTTTTACTGCCTCACGCGATCAAAATTTCTCTGTCTTATTTAATTAAGACCCGTCTTATTTAAATGAGACAGGTCTAAATACCTGTCTTATTTAATTTCTTTCTTAAACTGGAAATGTGCCTTTGGCACAAACTTTTGGAAATATAAGTGGTACAATTTTTTTAAAGACTTGCTTTATTACATTAAAAATAAGCGTATGTGTGCTGTGTACAACACTTGTACTTACGTTTTCAGCACCAAACGTGAACATGTTTCCGTGGCATATAAAGAGCTTGCATATGCTTGCGGAAATGTGTGTTATGATTCAATGTTGCCTGACTACAGCAAACTGTTCAGAGAGGTTGGAAAGTTTTTGAATTAGATATTGAATATGGGAAAACAATTCATTAAAAAGATAAGTTTACTTATTGGAAATGTATTGGTTTTGAGGAAAAAATAATTTGATTTGTCCTTCTTTATGGAGAGGAAAATGTTTCTGTTTATTTATCTTATTGCAAAATTGAATCAGTTGTTCAAATAGTTAACTTCGATTCCTTTATAATCAGGCATAATGCTTTTCGAGGAATAGTTTTAAAGTCAATTCGTTGCACTAAATAATGGCAGTGCATTGAGTAACAGTAAAATAAAATAACATACATACAAAAACAGATGCAAAACATCACTGAATAATGGCAGTGTATTGAGTGACAGTAAAATAAAATGACATACATACAAAAACAGATGCAAAAAATCACATAAAGCAGCAACCAAATGAGGGAATAAAGAAAAACGTGTAATATGTTTAGCAGGTTTTCTTATTTCATTTGGATAACAACTTTCGGTAACATAACGACATGATTAACAATAGACACGGATCCTTAGAATGTCAGTTACACTAAAGATCAAGATAATTTCAGTCACAAAATACATTTGCTACCAGTTACGTTTTAGATAATTACCGAATGATCAACATCTTGCTAGGAAGATTGATTGTTAATAAAATAATATTGCAAGAATTTCAAAAAATTGTGCAAGATATCTACCAAAAATTTGGATTAATAAATTATATATTCAGTGTAATCCAAAGCTAAGTCGCTAAATAAGCTAAGTCACGAGAGGGCTTTCTGTGAGCAAAGTTTTGTGTGGTTACAAGATTTACTTTTGGACAAAATGCCTTATGAAAAAATAGCGGAATTTAACAAATAATTATTTCTAATTTTGAAATCCTTTCCTTTATTATCTTCTTTTTCACCTACAACTGCCTGTTAAAATGAGTTGTCAGTATCGCGTTTTATGTAAATGAGTTAGAACCAGTATTTAATGGAAAGTTTCAGTCACTTAAGTAGAAGAGCTCAGAAGTTCTCAGTAGAGCGTGTTCTGTCTTCTGGCCACATCGTTGCTTTAAGCCTATCTTGCTCCGTTCAGCCGTAGTCTTACGTGTCTGCTAGTATCCATCGGTGATGTTTTAATAAGAGCAGACTCGGTTAGTTATTTCTATACAGCTTCGGCTAAGTTAGTTTCATAATTTCTGTTTTAAGCCCAAATAGATGCTTTTCTATGAGCCCGAAAGGGGCTAACTGTTATTATTTTTAGAGTTAAATAAAAGGATATTTTTACCCCTCTTTGGACCTTATTTCTGCAGTTGTGAGAAGAACAGCCAATAGTTGCTATACTCTTCTCTAGTTCTAGTTTCCGAGGCCACATAATTTAACTAGAACTTAATGGTATCATATGAAGCATATATGCATAGAATAGCTTACAATGAAATGAAATTCCGGTAATATGAAAATGAATATGATATCCACGTATAATTAGTATTTACGTAAATATGACAGTAAGACCTCGAAACTAAAGACATCAGCAGTGACACAAGCAGAAAAGTATACTGCAAACTACCGTATACACTGGTGTGCAAAAATTAAGGACGAAGTCGAAAAATTAGCATATCAGCTGAACGAAGAGGCAGAGCGGACAGAAAGACCAATCAGGAGATTAAGCAAGGTGATGTACGGTAGCACATGCGCAGATATGCAGGTAGACGTAATGGGGGAGTGTCTGAGTAGTATAAAGCATGTTGTCGGTGTAAGATCAGTATTTCTGGCAAAGAGATTGCACGCCGTATAGCAGTTAAAATCACACCGAGTTGCTGCCTCAGCGAGAAATGGCGAATAATCATCATCTGTTAGACGACATCTGGATGCTTTTACCCGAGGTCGAATCATTGGGAAGTTGGAGGAAGGGCCGCAGTGTGACAAGTGTGGCTGCAGAGTTCGGAATTGCTCACAGCATCGTTTCACGACTTTGGAGACAATTTCAAACTACAGGAAGAGCTATCGACCGGGGTTTAGTAGTGGTCGTCCACGAGGAACCACACCCGCAGATGACCGGTATATTGCCTTA